GCCCCCTGCCACACCCCAACCCCCTGCCACATCCCACACCCCAACCCGCTGCCCTGAGCCCCCTGCCACATCCCACACCCCGACCCCCTGCCCTGAGCCCCCTGCCACATCCCACACACCAACCCCCTGCCACATCCCACACCCCTCCCGCACCCCAACCCCCTGCCCTGAGCCCCCTGCCGCACCCTGCACACCACCTGCACCCCAACTCCCTGCCCTGAGCCCCCTGCCGCATCCCACACCCCTCCTGCACTCCCTGCCCTGAGCCCCCGCCGCACCCTGCACCCTTTCTGCACCCGCTGGGGGCAGCGTTGGGGTGTGGACTTCGGGGAAGGGGTTGGATTGGGGCAGGGAAGGGGTGGAAAGAGGTGGGGCCTAATGGAAGGGGTGGAGTGCTGGCGGGGCCAGGGGCAGCAAGTGGGGGGTGTCAGTGATGTGGCCCTCGGTTCAATGCACTAGTCCTCATGTGGCCCGTGTGGTCATTTGAGTTTGAGACCCCTGATCTAGACCATTCCTGACAGGTGTTTGTCTAACCTGCTCTTAAAAATCTCCAATGACGGGAGATTCCACAACCTCCCTAGGCAATTTATTCCAGCGCTTAACCACCCTGACAGCTAGGAACTTTTTCCTGATGTCCAACCTAAACCTCCCTTGCTGCAATTTAAGCCCATTGCTTCTTGTCCTATCCTCAGAGGTTAAGAAAAACAATTTTTCTTCCTCCTCCTCGTAACAACCTTTTACATACTTGAAAGCGGTCATCATGTCCCCTCTCAGTCTTCTCTTCTCCAGACTAAACAAACCCAGTTTTTTCAATCTTCCCTCCTAGGTCATGTTTTCTAGACCTTTAATCATTTTTGTTGCTCTTCTCTGGACTCTCTCCAATTTGTCCACATCCTTCCTGAAATGTGGCGCCCAGAACTGGACACAATAGTCTAGTTGAGGCCTAATCAGAGTGGAGTAGAGCAGAAATGGTACAGTGAAGCCTAGAGACTGTAGCCCCTAAGGAACATGCTACGTCTGATTGGGTAGAACCTTCACCACAGGGAGGGGAAGGTGAATGACCTCAGTGAGCTTCCCCATACTGACCGGTTTGCCCAGCTCTGAGTGGGAAAAGAAGGGGCTGCAGAGAAGCAGCACACATTTCCAGGGGAAAGGATGAAGTCTGCTCCTAACCATTATTCTGCTGTTGGCCCTCCTCAGGGCATGGGAGACCAGAGGAGCTGACACAAAGGGAAAAGGATCATGGGAAATATAAAGACAGCAGACGGGCTTAAAGAGACAGGGGAATAGCCTCCTCCTACTTACCCACTCAGGTAGAAGCTGAAGAGCGGGGCACTGATGAGGTTCTCCTGGATCAGACCTTGCATCACAGTAGTGGCACCGCCAGCAGCAATGGCAGGGAAACCCAGACCGAGGATCCCATCGAACTGAGCATAGACAAAGTCGGTGCCAGGCTCAGTCTCACTCAGGCCAAACTCCTGTTTTGTGATGGAAACGTCCTGGATCTGCAGAGCAAGAGATGGGAATAGCCATTACAACCAGACAGAGCAAGCAGGCCACTGAACCTAGCAAACCCAGGAAGGAGAACTTTGGGTGCACTTATCTAACCAGCCAAGAAATCTCAGAGCACTTTCTGTGGGTATCATCACCTCCATTTTATAGATAGGGAAACAGGCACAAACAGGGGAAGCTATTTACCTAAAGCTTACCCAGCCCGTCAGAAACAGAGTTGAGAGTAAAAACCAGATCTCCCGACTCCCACTACTAGACCACGCTGCCTCTTACAATAATATGTTGTTACTACTAGCAAGACCCACTGAGGCTCAGACATTCCTCCAAAGCTCTGCAACTAGTGGATGTCCAACTAAAGAAAGGCTTCCCAGCTACAGGTGCCTCTCCATACACAGCCCGGGGGTCTGAAGGTTCACGGTGTTGAAAAAAGAATGCTGAGTGCCTTGGGTTTTGTTTGAAATACTCCCAAACATCCTGTTCCCCAACCACCTCATTTCTGAAAGCCCACTTCAAAAACCCAGATTATATCCTTATCATCTGGAGATTAAAAGTGGAATAGATGTCTCGGTTCTGGCCCTCGGCAAGGCATTGTTTGAACAGAAAATTCCCCAATGAGTGATGGGCCGTATATTCACTAGCTAGAGTGAGTGATCTCAGCCCCCTCATGGCAGGGCCTACAGGGGAAATCAGAGACTTTCTACCGCTGCCTGCTGAAGGAGTTCGGATGCTAGCACCTGCCAGCTCATGCGAAGCTCAAATAACTATGTCATCTCCTCAGCTGATGCTATTACTTACTGTCACGGTGTCATAGCCAAAGACTCCAGTGAGACTGCCACTGCCGTACTGCAGAGAGAAGGTCTGTCCATTGGAAGAGTAAGTGGAGGAGTCATTGGGGTTGAACAGAGTGTGGGTGGCTAGAGGTAAACACAGATCAGCGTCAGTTGTCAGCTTGTGCAAATAACCGATTCAGAGTCGAAGCTCCCCACCCCGAACTGAGCCCAACACTAATCCCCTCTAGAAATGTCCAATAATGGCAAAACTTGACCTTTCTGTAGCACCTTCCCCCTGCGGTTCTCCAACACTTTGCACCCGTTACTAATCAATTAAGCCTCACCGCTCCTCTTTGAGGTAGGTCTAATCACCCGCACTTTACAGGTGGGGGATGAAGGCACAAAACAGGGCAGTGACTTGCCCAATGAGACACAACCCGGCCCCACAATCCTGTTCTTTAGCCACGGGACCATCCTTCCCTGGCTTGCCTCTTTCTTTGCATGCAGCCGTCTGAAACTGTCACATGTGCCTACACTGATTGAAACAGTTTTTTGGGGCTTCAGACACCTCAGCAGTGGAGCTGTTATGGGACTGAAAGCATTTGAATAGGAATTTCTACCCTTTGTAATACACGGATTGATTTTATTTTTATAGACATATAAACAGGGTAAGAAATAACGCTGCTGTAGAAGATCCAAGAAAGACAACTGTGAAGGTCTGGACATGTGTCAAGAGCAGACGCAGGAAGGATACCAGACAGGGTGAAAGATACCAAATTGCAAGCAGGTAGAAATAGAGGAAGACCAAGGATGCGCTGGACGGACATGGTGGAGACTGACATACAACAAAAGGTTCAAAGATGAACAAAGCCACGAAGCTGGTACGAGGTAGGAAGTGGTGGACAGACTTTGTTCGGCCTCAAGGGTCACAGCTGAGCTGATGGATGGGAAGCAAAGAAGAGAAGAATAATTTGTGTGTCCGTGTGTGTATTATATAATCAAACAGTATCTATTTTAAATTATGTGCGCGTGTATATCTAAAAATAAATCAATTATTATTTGAATTCCCGTAAGAACCTAGGAGCCCCAGTCATGGACTAGCCCCCACTGTGCCAGGCGCTGTACAAACAGAACAAAAAGAGGGTCCCCGCCCCACAGAGCTTCCAAACTACGTAAATGACATGCGCTTCCATAGTCTTGGCTATCTTTCTGTCTGCAGTGGGACTTCAGAACACTGCTAGCATATTGGGATTTGAAGGGCGTCTACATTATTCCTGACGAACAATCCGGATTACGGCTCGGTCAGTGCCCAGGATGGGATACTGTGATAGAGAACCTCCCTCCATGGTAGAGACATTTCCATCGGCCCCTTGTGCATGGCGATTACTCACTGCAGGCCTGGCTCTGGCAGTACGTCGAGGGCACCCACAGGTTGGAGGAGCCGGTGTCGAAGAGAACCAGGAAGCTCTGGGGTGGGGTTCCAATGCTGATTGCCCCATAGTAGGACATCTAGAGAAAAGGGGGCATTCTTTTCATCACAGGTTCTCCTCCTCATGATCCATGTCACTTGCCAACCAATAGTACTATTGAGCATGCTGGAGACAGTCACTGCCATCTGCACCACATACGTAATCTCAAACCAATGGGGCTGCCAGGTGGGTGGATGGTGACAAGAGACGGTGGAATCTCATGCAGTTAGAGGTTTTGCAAAGAACTCCAACTCTGCTAGAGGGTTTCCAAAAAAGGGCAAACTTTCCCCCCTTCCATTTTAACCCTTCGCTTTCCTCCAGAGAGATTCAATTTCTTAAATATATATTCTAGCTAGAGGGCAGCCTGTGCTCTTTATTAGGGCCGAGAGAATTGTTGGGTCTTTTACTCCTCACAGAACAAAAATCTATATGGAGGAACCACAGGGCATAGCTGAGTCCCAAATAACTGTGTTTACTAACTACAGCAGAACCTCAGAGTTACGAACAGCAGAGTTCTGACCTGATTGGTCAGCCACACACCTCATTTGGAACTGGAAGAACACAATCAGGCAGCAGAGACCAAAAAGAAAAGCAAATACTGTACAGTACAGTACTGTGCTAAATATAAACGACTAAAAAAATAAAGGGAAAGTTTAAAAAAAAGATTTGACAAGGTAAGGAAATTGCTCCCGTGCTTGTTTCAAAATGGCTAAAAGCAGCATTTTTCTTCTACATAGTAAAGTTTCAAAGCTGTGTTAAGTCAGTGTTCAGTTGTAAACGTCTGAAAGAACAACCAGAACATTTTGTTCAGAGTTACGAACATTTCAGAGTTACAAACCACCTCCAGTCCTGAGGTGTTCGTAACTCTGAGGTTCTACTGTAGACACAAACACGCAAGGCTTAGCTACATACATGTGGCTGCTCTGGTTGGCTGCTCTAGAACACGGTGACCACCATGAGAGGGCTCACAAACTATTTAAAGGGATACTACCCGATTCCTGTACACTACAAGAACCGTCCTACAGAAGATGGGCTGGTGCAAGTTGGAGATCATATTTTCCATTTGAATTTCTCGCTTTCCTCCCATCCTTGCTCCATGGTTGACAGCCTCTATCTTTTCCTTGTCTCTGCTCCATTTTTGTCATTATTTTTTCCAATCAGGCACATACTCACATCCAGGTAGTTAACCAGGGCCTCATAGGCAACAGCAAAGTTGTTGAAGTACTTGCTGGCTGGGTCATACTTGTGGTTCTTCAGGTAGTCCCTGAGTACGCCCTTCTCCTTCATCACCTCCCGCATGGATTTGAATTTCTTCAGGGGGATTCTGCACAGAACAGAAAGACAGCGATCAAGTCTCCCCTCAGTAGCACTGCCCCCATTTTACAGATAAGTAAACTAATGCAGAGAGAGATTAAGTGATTCGTCCAAGGTCACAGAGCCTGTCAGTGGCAGTGCCAAGGACAGAACCCAGGAGTGCCACTCTCCTTCTCAAACCACTCCCCACAACGTTCCTATTCTTTCCTTCACACCAGCATAATCAGCAATCGCTGTCAAGTGGCCACACTGTTATTCCATGCTCACCTCACCATCCCCTCTGAGAGGTGGAGACACACCAAGGCGAGGATCAGCCACTTCATGATGCTCTTCTTTTGCAAGCAGTTTCTAAACAGTCCCCCAGTTCAGTCCTGGACACCGCGGTGGCTGAGGTTGGAGTCCCAGGCTCCCTGCCTATATACCCAAAGGGTGCACTGTTGTCTCCGCCTCCTTTTGCCACTATCTCATTCACATATCAGAAGCTTATCAACTGTCAATAACACTTCATGCTGCGGCTTGCCCTAACAGGGCTAAGGGCCCTTTATCTCAAGAACAGCTGCTTAATCAGAAGGCTAATTGCCATTTTACTTTTAAATTACTCTTTGAAGAGAAATGTTGGAATGATAAGAGGAATCGAAGTTCTTAAACTCCCAAAACACCCAACAACCCACCAGCTTGTTCCCCTTTATCTTCCACTTGCTTGCAGTCTGATAGTTCTATCGCATGTTTTCTCCAAAGGAGGAAAAGTTTGATCACACACAGTAGCTGGCTTATAATGGAAAGAACAACAAGATTATAATAGTTTTGGGTGACCTGCATTGTTTCCATCCCAATACTCACCTGTAACTTTTCAAGAGGCCAGACAAGTACAAGGGTATGTAATGTTCCTCAGAGAACAAAACATGGTGGTGTGGGTTGCATATCGAAACAGCCTCTGCTGATTAGGGGAGCTCCATTCACCTTGGAAGGCAGGAATGTCCCCATTGTGGCCTTTTAAAAACAACCAAGGGGTGAATTTTAGGGAAGGATTTTTATAACCCCCAAGAGCCCCATTGTTTGTGCAACTGTATGTTTAATTTGCATTTGCAGTTACACTGAGTGCGTGACAGTACATCAAATCTTTGCATGTAAGTACAGTAAAAATTGCAGTAGTGAGGCCAGCTAAGTACTTAAAAGAGATTATGCAAGGTTAGGTGAGACTCTTACATGCAAAAAACCAAACATTAAAGTCATCATTAGCCCCACAAATATCCAATTTGCCCTCAAAAGTAATTGCAGGTGCACTGGTAACGCTTAACCTTAACTCTGCCCAGTAGTTACACTAATGGAGCAGTGGGAGATGCACAAAAAGTGTCTTTAAAAATCAGTTTTGTCTAAGCTGAGATACCAAACACTAAAATGCCTTAATCGTAATCTTATTGCTATTAAATGGTGTCACTACAGAGCAGAGTTAGTTATTTGGGTGCCTTCACCGTGCATTTCCGTTTCTTAATAAAAATCTTAACTCTGAATTTCTTGGGTTTGGAGATGATCACGGTCCTGTTTTTCACCTTGCCATACTGAGATGCACTCTAAACCTTAATTCCATTTTAATCGTTTTTTGTCTGGGACTTAATAGAATACTTAGGGTTGCCAACATTGTATTTCAAAAATAAAGGCCGGTTTTCATAGCGCGCGCACACACACATCGATCTGGCTGACACTGCGGAGAGGTGGGGGTGGCAACTTGCCAAAACTTGGTGTCTGTAGTTTGCATATTTATTATTATTATTAAGCAACACTCACCAGGGTATTTCTTGCTGCTTTTTGCAGCTCCTGATCCTCTTGTGCGGTGAGGAAGAAATCTCTGCAGGGTGCCATTTCAGATTTCAATGCCGGGTGAAGGCCCAACTTTCAGCAGGGGGTCCAGAGGCCACTTTGGCATGACGGAGGAGCGGCCGGGACTAATTTGAACAGCATTGAGACGCCATACAGCCAGGTCAAGTTGCCAACTGGCGGCACTTCACAAAGTGCAATCCCAGTGGTGGAGCACGGTTCTGCCCCTGATTTCAGGTGCCAGAGTGATCCTCCGGACCACCCTGGCTGCTGGCAGTGCTACACTCCTGGTTGAAATACGGGATAAAAGGCACTCGTAGTGATTTTGTATTTAAATAAGGGGCATCCCTTATAACACAGGACTGTTGTTATCCCTATGGAGGCACAGCCCAGCAGACCACCGGGGGCGGAGAGCTCTGATCATAAACTCGATCACCCTTGGATCTGCAAGGGAGACTTTATCAATGGCCTTGGAGGACGAAGCCCCCCTGTGCACAGGACAGGAACAGCAAAACCTTCCCCACTACTCGGCAGCAACTAGCTCAACTCCTGCGTCCGTCAGCTGGGGCCACCACTTCATCATCCAGTTCCCATCGATACCCTCCAACGTCAATCCCTGTCCTGACCATTATCGCTGTTTGCTCCTGAGCCCCGAGTCAGGTGGATTCTGACACGAGCTGCTAGGGGAGCGAATTCCAGATGTGCATCACTCGCTAGGAGAAAAACCCCTCTGGACATTTCATCTATACTTCAGAGGTTCCAGTTCCAGGGGCAACAGTGTTGTCCTGTTGCTGCTAAGTTCACAGGGAGCTTCACTTGCACCCTTGTGATCGACTGTGGTGGGTTTTGCAAAGATTTCACAGGGGGAAGGGCCAGAAGGGACCATTTCGGTCATCTAATCTGAGCTCCTGCATAACACAGACCAGAGCATTTCACCCAATCATTCCTGAATCAAGTCCAGTGTCTGGATCAAACCACCAGTGTGTAGCCCTGTTCTGAGTGCATTGTGGCTACTTCCGGCAGATAGCTGGGGATGGGAGGTGTCTGTCTCCCCTTTCCCCCACCCCCCACCCCACTTTCTTTTTAAACTGTCACTTTGTCAACACTGGAAGAACTTTTCACGCCAATCAAGTCTTATGGAATTGCTTCCTCCATAGTCTCTTTTCCTAACTGCAGATGGGTAAATTCTTCAGCCTATTGACACAAAAGCAGTCCCATACTTTGCAGCAGTTTAGATGTCTGATCTCCTGGATATCGGTGGGAACAGGGAGAGGTGCAGAACAGCAAGGAGAAGGAAGACTCTCAAGCTTAGCTACGCAAGCAGCAGCTCTTACCCTCCACCCCCAAAGACTGTGACTGTTCTCAGCAGAGGTATATGCTACGTGGCCCATATCCTGTTCTCTGGATTTTTATTATAAAAGGGCAAATATAAATATCAGCTCACTCAAGGGGACCCTTATCACCAAGGGCCTAGATAAACAGTGGAAACTGCTCGCCCCATGGGCCAAAATTACAGAAAAGCAAATTGAACGTGGGTGGGAAAGGGGCATGGAACGAACCCTGTTACCCCACCTCACACACTCAGATCTGATTTGGTCTTGCAGAATGTTCCTCTCCTTCAAGCTCCATTAAAAATGGGCAAGAGGCCAGGTGCCTGGTTGTATCAGCTGAAGCCTGATTTATTGCCAACACTAGAAATGTAAGAATTGCTAAACTGGTTCAGAGCAATGACCTGTCTAAGTCCAGGATCCTGTGGCCATCATTAGCAGATGCTTCATGGGTCACTGCAATGAACATCATAGTGGACAATTATGGAGTAACCTGCTCCTAAAGGAACTTTATTCCTGACTCCAGGCAGTAGTGGTTGTTGTATGCCCTGAAGCATGAAGGTTTATAGTCCTCGTGCATTTTCTATCCTGTCTGACCCAAACATGGATGTTCTCATTATTGATCTAAATATCTACTCATCTGACATCCTACCAATTTTTTTAGGTTCAATTATCTTTTGTGGCAATGAGTCCCATACGTTAATTACATACTGTGTAAAAAATGTATTTTCTTCCGTCAGTTCTAAAATGCACTGCCTTTCAGTTTTATTGGATATTGATTTGGTTTTGTCTTAAGAAGTTACTAGGGTACACAGGAGCATCTGAGACTTCTCTATTGCAGTCATTATTTCATATTCCTCTCTCATGACCCCTTTTATTCATCTCCTCTCCAAAACAGATAGTATGATGAGTCCTGGAAAGGCTTCAGTGTGAAGAGAGTGGGGACTATCACCCAGCTCTGCCCCTTTCTCTTTCTGCTAACATGCTTTTTGTAGACGGGGAGACCAGAACTGAACAAATCAGTGAACTTCAGAGTCATCTAGGCAATTTGGCTACACAACATTCACTCATTTCAATGAGAGGTGGGTGGATGAATCATAGTCAGCTTTGACAATCTCAACCAGAATCCCAGGTTCAGATGTAGTGTTAATTGAGAAAATCGGCATAACTACACAGTACTATTTTCAATCTCTATCTTTAGAACACATTATTTAGTTTTCTGGCCACTACTATACACCAAGCCGGGGTTTTCATCAAGTTGACCTCAGTAACACCAGGGTCTTTTCCTTGTGTCATTTCTATCAGTTTAGAACCTAGTAAGCTGAATTTTATCTGCCATCATTAGTTCTTTGCCAACTTCTCTGGTTTTAACCTAAATAATCATTGTGTCTGCAAATGTTGCCACTGCTTCATTCATCCCAACCCATATCATTAATATAATAAACACTGGCCTTAGCGTGGACCTTTGTGGCATACTGCAGTGTTAACCTTTTGACAGATTGAAAATTGGCCATTGACTCCTCTTTCTTTTCTGTCTCTTAGCCAGTTTCTGATCCATGACAGAATTTTCTCTCTCACTCCTGTGATCGTTCAGTTTTCTTAAGAACTTCTTTGTGAGGGACTTTGCCAAAGGCTTTTTAAAGCCCAGATAAGTTCTATCAACCAGTCCTCCTTATTCACTACTTGGTCAAACAAGCTCAAAAAATTCTAGTAGATTAGAGAAGCATGATTTTCCCTAACTGGAACTGTCCCCAAGTCTTGTGATATGTGGTGGTTTCCTTAACGGTCACACCACTGAAATCAAAGGATTCTCAGATTTCATTAAAAAAAAAAAAACCCACACATTTATAGCGCTGTTTGCAGAGAAACCCTGAAAGCATGACCCCTAAAGCACAAAGAAAGTCCCCAAATACTTATTTTTTAAAAAGCGTATGATTTTAAGCCAATCTCATGATTTTGGGGGGGTCTGATGTAATTTTCAAATGCTTGAGATTGGCAATACTGCTACTGCCTGCAGTTTGAACTATTTGGGTACATTTCACAGCTGATAAGAAGTTCAAACAGGAGCCTTTTATTAAGTGATAGCTCAAAGCTAAATAGATTGTAGCTAGTAAGCACTTTGGGGCCTCAAGTCTCTTTCTCCATCTCCTCCCATTGTCCTTATTATGCTTTGCTCGATGGTGCCCCTTTGTGCTTGGCACAGCCTCCAAAATCCCACCAGCCAAGAAGCTCCCCTCAAATAACTTCAAACATACCTCCCTTGCGATGCCCCTTCACTTCCTTTCATTGGAACCAGTGGTCTCTGTATTGTATTATCCAGGTTAGATTTAAGCTCTTTTGAGCAGGAACTGTCATTCATATTCCACAAAGCACTCTCTATAAACAGTGAGATTTTCAAGGGTCCACATGCAGCCAGGTGCTTACATTCCATTTTGCCTTTGAAAATCTCCCGCAACATGGCAAAAGTAGTGAATAACCAGGCAGAGGCTGTTGCTGGAGGCAGGATACTGGATCTTGATGGAGCAATGGGCTGATCTCACATGGAAAAGCCTATGTTCCGTTGCTTGGGAAAGGCACAGGACTGGAACAGCAACAGGTCAGAAATGAAGTGCATTGGCGTAACTGTTTGTGGGGAGCCCAGGACTGGTAAAACAGAGCGTAGTGTAGGTCAGGGCTAGGGTGCATTGGCACAACTGTTCATGAGATCAGGAATAGAATAGCAAGAAGTGCTGCAGGCCATGATTGCAGGACACCGGCAGAGCTAGAGGTGGCGTCCAGGACTGAAATAGCATAGGTTACAGGAGGTTGGGATAGAGGTGCATTGGCAGAGCTGTATGGGGAGGCCAAGACTGGCATAGCAGCTCAGGATTCGGAGCACTAGCGGAGTTGCATGAAGGAAAGTGCCTATTTACACTAGGATTGATTCTGGACAGCACGGTGGGTCTCCAACTTAAACGAGCAACTAAAATTCATCTTTAAACTTGACAATTCTCTATTTAACAGCAAACAAGCCACACCCTCCACCAGATAGTCGTCAGATTCCATTTATTCTGTATACATTCTTAGTGCACATTAGAGTAAGACATGAGCGCTCCTCAGCTCACACAGCACTAAGGCTCTTTGCCTTGAAGGTTACACCTGGATGAAATATAAACAGGGACTGAATGGATATCCATAGTAATAACCCACAGAAGTAATTACACAGAAAGACCGATCTCTATGGACAGAGCAGCTTTGAATCCCTGGTGACCAGAGCCCCGAAGTGCCTTTGCTTTTCCGCCACGTCAGAAATATTTAGTATCAAAGACACCAGTACAAGTAAGAACGAGGAGAATCACACAGGATAAGAGCTTGAGGTCAACACAGATGTGCCTGGGCCTTTTGACTTTAGTCACACACACCCACAAAGGAAGGAAACAAATAGGATCCCCTCTTTAGAACCAGCGTGTTCCCCACACCCACTCCCTGGCTTTCATTTCCCAACCTCCAGCCTACCCTATCCCTTAACTTCTTCCCTTTTGGTCCTGTTTGGTAGCAGGAATCCACTCCCCTTCAGCTACCTACACACAGCACTCAGCTTCAGATGAACCAAGCTTGGTGGGAAGACAAACTCTACAGACAGGCTGCAAGGGTGCCATAACAGGTGAGCTGAAATTACTACTAAGCAACTGATGAATGATACTGCACAGTAAGGGTGAAGGCAGATGCAGTTGGGTAGCATCATGCCTACGGAAAACGGGTGGGAAGTGGCTGCGGAGATGACTAAGAGAACTTGTTAATAATATCTAGCTCTTGTATATCGCTTTTAATCCACAGATCTTGAAGTGCTTTACAAAGGAGATCAGTATCATTATGCTCATTTCACAGATGGGGAAACTGAGGCATGGGGAGGTGACGTGATTTTCCCACGGACACCCAGCAGCAAAGCTGAGAATAGAACCCAAGTCTCTTAAGGCCTAGCCAGTGGCCACACTGCACATAGGGATCAACAGAAACAACTGACTGCTCGAGACACACATACCCTCACAGGGGTCTCTGGCATGAGAGGTACAGAAACAATCCCCTTCCAGCATGGGAGAGAGGAGATTCTGAGGGTTAGAGGTATTTAGACGGCCGCTTCCCACTGGAGATAAAGACAGCAACAGCTGGGAATTTTTTCCAGTGGACACAGTGGCTTACATAAAAATACTTGTATAATTTTTTTCGTGTTCAAACCACTCTGTAAACATCAATTAATCCTCACAATACCCTTGTAAGGCAGGTAACTATTACTAGCATTCAGACCAAGAGCGTTACAGTTCCTCTCCATTCCTAGAGAGAAAAGTAGGCATCTAGGCTGTATAAAACAAGCTAAAAATAGACACACTCCTTCAGATTAGACCTATTCCCTGGCAACCACAAATAGATGTCGAGGGAGAGGCAGTCCACCTGCCTAACTTCAAAACCCAAAGAAAAAACACTTAAAAAGTTAAGCCACTCAAAAACCTAAAGAAAATCTCCTCAAGCCGAAAGCCTCCTGGGGACACATGGTCTTTTCCATGTTATCAGCCCCACACAGAACAGATCAGTGCAGGGACGATACCAGAGGAAGCCCTCTGTCCACAGGACAAGCTTTAAGAGATGATGTGTTCCTCATCCTGGAGCCAATTCAGTTCGGGGGCTAATTCCTTTTTGTGTTAGCACATGCGGGGTCTCCAAGGCAGGTACTCACCCATTTACGATGCTGAGCTCCTTGTGTCCAGCGGTGTGACACCAGCCAGATATATAATGCTTTGGAGAGCACCTTTGACTCTTGAGACCAAGGTTTATGAAGGCCACTACAAAAAATGAAACATTCTGGTTTTTGCCTATGTTGTATTAGCTGAGCCGGTCACAGCATGTTTGGAGGGGAGACACTGGGATGTGGATGATGGTTCCTAATTTAATCCACATCCAAGATACAGGTGCACAGGCATTTGGATAGTCCAATAATCTGTTCCTTGCAAGGCTCACGGCAAGATGTGCAAGGAAAAGAAAGGCAACCATTAAAAGAACATGGTATGGAGGAAAATATAGAATGAGAAGATGTCCTGTTTTCTTGTCATGAACTAGAAGGTTTCTAACAAGGATAACTGGGGCCAAATTCATCTCCCGTGTGACCCCACTGAAGTCAGTGGAGTTACAGCAGGGCTGAATTTTCCCCGCAGATTATGAACTCCTCAGGGCATTATTGTGTTATTTTAGATCTGTAACAGTGTCAGGAATACCAATGGTGCTCTATAAATATAAATAATTCCAGACCAAAAGAGAATCATAGGATAAGAGATTCCAACAGAATTACAGGCTACCTACAATCTATTATCCAAAGCAACTGCTAATCAAACAGAGCAAGGAACTTGGTGGTGAGGAAAAGTCAAATAAAAAAGGTCCAAGCCTGTTCAACCTGCCCCTGAAAACTCCCATCTTCTACCTGAGAATGTCCCACATCTGACCACTAGAGGAAGCTATGAGGCTGGATAACACCACACCACACTTGTTAACATTGAAACCTCATCAACAGGGGCTTCCCTTCTTTTTCTGGTCCCTGAAGCTCTAATGCAGCAGAGCTCATGCTGCACTCCATGAACTGTTTTCCTGGCTGTCGAAAACGAGGCAACAGGACGGAGATTGGGAGAGGACCTTGTCCATGGAAGGAGATCTCACCCTTATGAAGCTGCCAGAGAATGAAAGAGCAGTGGAGCCACTGGTCTAATACATTCCTGGCTAACTCAAGTCAGGTGACCAGGGCAGTGTCTCCCCCAAGCCCATGAGATGACTAACTGCCTTAAGAAGCCTTTATCTATTCACAGTGTGGCCAATTGGTTCTCCCTCTTTGCCTGCACAGATTCTCTCTCCATCCCCTGAAGTCTTCCCACCCAGCTCGAAAGCTGAACTTGACCTTCTGTGCTATGGATACATGGGTCCAATGAGCATTAAATTGTAAATTCACTTCTACTCAGCCATCCCCTAGAGCCAATCTGCCCCTGGCACTTTTCTCTTGAACCTCTTCATGAGACCTGCAACTTCTCATGAACAAAACCTGCTGAGTCAAACACTGCACTCCTCTTACCCAAGGATGCCATAAGGAACGGAGAATTCGAGAGAGAGTAAATCAAGACACAGCCAGATGGCAATTTGCAAAATCAAACTCCAAATCAAACCACACATGTACTAAATCAGAACCACCCAGGATAAAATCAGAGGCTTCTTCTATAACCTCGGTGATGAGAGAACTTCTAGCTACTTCATCTCCCCTCCTTAGCAGGTACATCATTCATTATCAACCACTATAAACTGGATTATAGCTTTGATAAGGCAACCAAGTCAAAGTGTCAGAATCTCTATGTACTTATATGGCCTTCATCACCATAGTATCCCAACCACAAGTGCCTTACAACACCCCTGTGAGGTAGGGAAACTGAGGCACAGGGTAGCGTGACTTGCCCAGGGTCATCCAGGAAGTCTGAGGCCGAGACAATAATTAAACACCTATCGCCCTAATCCCAACCCCATGTACTAGACACTAGACATTTGAATGGCATTGCAGACCGGGGCACATTAGGAGCTTCAGCCTATGTGGGTGCACTGGGGAGGAAGCCCCACAGAGCTGTGTTGCTAACAAACAGCACCTTGAAGAGACCCGTCTGATTTATTCCAGCCTCTCAGCTCATTTAGAGTTTTGGAAATACTCATTCAGGTATATTGGCTGTTCCCCCCAACTCCCCCACTCTAGAGAGAGAACACTATGACAGCAAACTCTACAACATGGCCCCAGGCCTCACCTATTACATTACACCTGATTTGACTTCTCCAAAGACAGGTAAGCACTCACCTGTACAGATGAGTGGCTTTGGATACACTTAAAGGAACCCAATGTTTCTGCCAAAAGGCAATGAAGGCCCCTCCCCTTTCGATGGGAAAGGACAGGGTCTGAGATATCTTATTCCAATGCCGGGAACCATATTGATCCTGGGTGTAACCCTACCAAAGCTAATGAGGCTGCAACCAGGAGGAATTTGGTCCAATGGTCAAGGAGTCCTCTTCTGCTATTGCAGTAGTGTCAAGAGTCCTTTGTGATCTTGGGGTGGTTCTAGCCAATAGCAAGCCCACATGGGGCAGAATGGGGAAATTTACCTTTTTGTCTGGGACTAGATTAGCTTTGCTGTTAAACCTCCTAGGCCCTGATCCGGCAAGGCAATGAGACTCAGTGAGAGTGGAGGATGCTCAGTAATTCATAGGCTTGGGCCCCACATCACCTGAGGTCACTTCGCATGATTTACTGAAAGAAAGAAAATGGCACAAGCCTTATAAGTGCCTTAGCACCATCTGCCAAATGAGTGAGTGCATGACAAATAACTTATAGGATCTTCTTTCTTAGCTCAGTCCTTCTCATCCTTCCCTCTCAGCCTTTCATCTCCATCAAGAGATGATCCTGAAGTCCTAGGATTGCCACCACCAGGCCACTCCCAATTTTAAAGAGAGGCACACTTTCTAAATCTGATCAGAGTCACCAGCAAATGCAGAAAACTTCACAACAGAGTGGAGTTACCACAATACAACAGGGATGATGGCTCCTGTCATATACTGTTTTTTCCTGTCTCCCCCTTACTCTCAAAGGTGCTTAGACTGTCCACACTATGACTTACACCATGCTAGTAAGAACTCCTCTTCAACGTAGGTGTTGCTAGGGCTGTTTCCCAGGCCAATGTGGACAGCGACTTTTCCATTTCATCTGCACTACAAATACAGCTGTAAACAGGGCACCAAACACAGGCTAAAGCCTCAGACATTTCCCATCTGCATTACAAGAACTGCTTTCACTGTGCGGGCGACAGGCATGTGGTAACCAGATCCCCTAATACTGTCGTAGTGTAGATGGACGCAATGTCCGAGAATTAGGTTATAAAATCATGCTACATACAACAATGGGGAGATAGCCAGCTGGGGCATCTTGTGGGTGCATCACAGCATGGTCTGATTAACCTAGTTCTCAGAAAACTATTGCTGATCAGAGGAATTGTGATAGGGCCCTGCTAAAGATGCTTGTTAGCATAATTAGAACTGTAATGTGGACAAGGCCTGAAAGTCTGCGGTTCATGCAGGCTAAGCAGAATACGGGACAGAGAGAAGTGCTATTTCTTTTATCCCTATGTTAAGAGCACTCATCTAGCAGCAGGCAACTATTATCCTGTGACCACTTCTTACTTCGTGGTCATTTGTGACCAACATTATTTTGTAAACAGCCCCGCTAATCACTTTTTAAAACCCATCTTAGATGTGGGGAAATAAAAACATTTTATCCTCTCCGTTAACTAAATAAACCTGTTAGATCAATACATTTGCTACAGACCAATGAGGAAGTGATAAAGGTATTAGAGGACTTGATTTACTGCTGTGGATGTGTGCCAGGTTCCCCACATCCCTAGTCATAACAACACTAAGCTAGATAGTTCATCATGCCAAATGCTAGCAACAAATTCCTAGAATAGACCCTGATCCGGGCTGCAAGTGAAGTCAATGGAAGGATTCAGCAGACTTCAGTGAGTGCTGGATTGGTCCAATGAAGCACTATAATAGGTAACAACATTTGCCCATAAAAGGGCAATTCAAAGCCCACCGAAGACAGTGGGAGTCTTTCCACTGACTTCGATGGGCTTTGGATCAGGGCCTACATGAATACAGATACATTAATACAGTGCATCTGCAGCAACAGCTGCCATGTAACTCTAATATGTTCGTATTGTGACTTTTAAAGACATTCTGTCAAGATCAAGCACACATTTAACAAAACCTATATCCTGACTTGTTTTACAAATTTGTTTTTTTTTTTTTTGGCCTGGATGTTTTGCACATCTCAGCTGGGTGAGCAAAACTAGACAAGTCAATTTAAATTCAGCAGTTAGTCAGTTTCAGCTAAAGATTCTCAGGCATTGTCCAGTGCTGTAATGTCTGAGATGCAAAAGCTACAACGGAGGGTGATGTTTAACCCTTAAAAAAAAAGCCTCTTCATTGAGATTGTTCATGAAAATATTTTTATACAGTTACTTAAAAAAAAAAAAATTCTTCCTCACTCCCAATGAAACCTAAATGTGGGGCATAAACTACGTGACAGTTTCCCTATAAATAAAGTCAGTTCACATATTAAAAATAATTAGCTTCTGTTATAGAACAAAAATAAGAGCTGGACTGAAGCCTGGAAGACAAGAGGTCAAAGGCTTGCCAAAACTCACTCACTTCTGAAGGTGGTGGTGGTGTTTGGTATTTGTAATGCAGACACCAAGCCAATGAGAAGAATCATAACTCTACAAATGGGGAGGAGTTCCTGACCTAAGGGTAAAGAGATTATATGGATACCCATCAGCTTTACTTATTTGTAGGGCTTGGCTACATTCCTTGCCATTGCTCCTAAAAGACTCACTTTTCAAGGCAGCACTACAGCACCGAAAAGAAGTTGGGTTTGTTAGCGCTGGAAAGAATCTCAGAAATCGACAGATTATGCTTGTGACTGCCAGGGCCGAGATATAAGCAGATGAACCAGCTTTTCCCTTTCACTGACTCTAGTCTGTTAACATACCAATGGCAAGGACATCATAGGAAGGTTTGGATGGCTCGATTTGCCAACCCCGAGCGAGCTTTCAGAGAATTGGATGGCATGATTCCAATCCTGCAGAAGAGGGTGAGGGAGTTTCAAAACAATAAGGCAGAAGTGAATATAATTCCAAGAGCTCTTTTACGTCTCATAGAAATGAGAGGGAATAGCAAAGTGGAATCAGTGAATGCCTCATGCTGCAGAGATTGGTGTGGTCTGTAGCAAGTGAAACCATACACAGAATGTTATCATTGGAACATCCCACAGTGGAAGAGAAGTAGAACGTCACGCGCAAGTTTTTTCTTTTTTTTTCTTTTTTTTTTTTTACAGAAGGGCCTGATGGTTCACATCAAATTCAGCCCTGGGGGTAACTGGTTACAACCACTCAAAGCCAATGGAGTTACAGTAAAGCTCAATTTAGTCTTTTGAGTCTACAATACAAGGAAACGAGCCATGCATTTAGCCAAAACACTAGTCAATTATTTCACGTGGACTCAGCGAGGTATGCAGGAGTAGGCACTGCTCCTTAGATAGGACTCCAAGCTTGGTTGCCTCGCAGCTATGCTGACACTTCCATGTTTTCTGCAGTCACTCCCACCAGCCCAATATAGTGCATTCCAGGTAACTGAGCTTTGAGTCACAGCTACGCTTTCCCCATTTGTAGTTCCACAAAGCACCCTTTTCACCATATCATCCCCTCCCCCCCCCGCCCCAAAAAAGGAGGTGAACACCAAGCGGATCCATTCCATGTTGCCACTGGCTTGGCACTTTTAACTTTGGTGCAAAAGAATGTTTACAAAATAAAATAAATAGATAGAAAAATAAAACAAATAAATAAACCGACAGCTGGAAAACATTTCTGAATATCCACAAAAAAGGCAGACAGATAAGTACACACCAAGGGCTCCCTGATCCCAAACCTCAAACTCCACTTGCATTCCCAGTCTTTCCCCCTGCTCCTAGGGGTTTGTTTGTTTTTTAAACACTCCCAATACTCTCTCCACCCCTCTCATAGAATCATAGAATATCAGGGTTGGAAGGGACCTCAGGAGGTCATCTAGTCCACCCCCCTGCTCAAGGCAGGACCAATCCCCAGTCAGATTTTTGCCCCAGATCCCTAAATGGCCCCCTCAAGGATTGAACTCACAACCCTGGGTTTAGCAGGCCAATGCTCAAACCACTGAGCTATCCTTCCCCCTGTCTTCTCTCCACATGGATGACATGAAAGCAGGGGGACTGACCCTGGTCCAGGAATGACCTGTTTACATTTATACTCCGCTTGGTGCCGTTTCGAATGCTGGCACCCCACAAAATAACTTAAATAAATAAATAAATAAATAAAGACCGTTTGCTGCTACTCTGCAAGGCTTTAGAAACAAATGACATGGGAGGAACGGAGAGAGGCAGGCAGACATTTGTAAAGTCCGCTTGCTGGAGCTATCCCAGGATGCTGTATTGAGCAATAGGGTTAACAGGGCGTGGGGGCAATAGAGAACGAAAGTCACGCTACACGATACACTGAAAGGCAAGTCCGAAAGCCACAATGCAGCGCTTGCACGCAGTGTTTCCCTTACAGAGGCAAGTCGGTGCTGTTATGCCGAGTTTTCCTTGAAGTCCCATCGTCTCTGGGCAGCGCTCTCTGCAAGTTGGACATGGCTGCTGTCTTCTTAAGGTCAATGACCGCGTAGGAGTCCATCCTGCTGGCTGGGTGGGCAGCAGGAAGCGGGGCGCAGGGCACCTGGAGGCTCTGGCGCCCCTTGTGGGGGTCAGCCTCCAGCTCCACCTGGATGTAGTTGAGCTGCCGCTGCTGCTCCGGGCAGGGCCGGCGGAAGTCGAAGCTGAAGACACTAGGTGTGCAGTTGTGGCGGTGCTGCAAGAAGTCATCCCGACGCAGGCCGCTGTGCAGTGCGGTGTTCTCCGAGTTCATGTAGTTTTGCAGGGGGTCACCTTCGTCCGGCTCGGGGTAGCCATTCGGAGAAGGAGTCAGCGTGTCCCCAGAGTCCTCGTCCTGCCGCAGCGGCTGGCACTCCCACACAGGAGGCAAGGAAGGCAGGTTCTCGTAGTGCAGCAGGGGTGTCCTGCGGTGAGAGCAGCTGTTTAAGCCCAGGTCCTCCCGGGTGAGTTTCAAGCGCCCGCCACGCCGAAGAGATGCGCCCCCAGCAGGCAGCAGGCCATTCACATTCTCATATACGCACCTGGGCACGAGGCACTCATCCTGGCACTCGTTGTTGTTGTTAGGGCCGCAGATGTGCCCCCCGCACTCCCGATAGTAACGGCAGGAGCTGTCACGTTTCACCATGTGCCTGTGAACTGGGGCAGGGCCCAGCACAAACTTCACCTCCCCCGGCTGCAGGAAGACCTGGGGGTTTCGGTCCTCCAGAGAGCAGCTGTGGTTCCCGTGCAGAAAAGGAGGGTGGACTTCAGGCAGCGAGTGCATGCAGTGCCGGCCCCTCATCTCCTCCTCGCCACTGGTTGTGTTCACATAGGTGTGGGACTGCAGGGAGAGAAGATGTGTTTTAGAGGCAGAGGGTGATGCTGGGGAGGGGGACAATGATAGGAAGAGATCAGAGCCAAAAATACAGGGGGGTGGGGGGTGGGATTGAGTGAGAGTACAGCTGAGAATGTGAGTGTGGAGAGTGAGGAGTCTGGCGGCTGATAAAGTGGGGGGGGAGGAGGAGGAGGAGTCTTGGTGGCTGAAAAAACTTGGAGGGGCTGTGTGCCGAGAAAGTGGGGAGTGAAACTTGGCCGAAAGGGATGCAGCTATGGTAAAATTATGTTTACACATCGACTGTTGCAAACCAAACACTCAGCACCTGGAGACAGGAATGAATTTTGTTTTCTCTCATGGATGTGAATTTAGTTTCTACGGGGCAGGATGAGCTGCATCTTTGCTCATCTAGAAACTGCCCTGAAGAACTGCAGTTATTTTAAAGGAGACATAATATGGCTCTAAAGCTTCCCCATTAGTCTGGCCTGATTTGGTTCTGCTCCTCCCTCCCATAACTCCCCAGCCTCTCTCTTAGGATCAGAGCCACTATTAATCAGGGGATTGACGTGTGGGCTCTCTGGGGTCTGAGGCCAGATCTACACTAGAAGTGCTCTGCTGGTATAGTTATACTGGTATTTTACACCAGCAAAGCGCTCCTAGTGTAGATGCAGCTTATAGCAGCAAAACTGTACTTTGCCAGTAAAGCTTATTCTAGCCCCTCCCCCTCAAAAAATGAACTATACCAGCAAAATTGCAGTTTTGCCAGTACAACGACATCTAGAGAAGGGGCTTCTGCCAGTACAGCTTTGTCAGCCAGGGATCATGCGTCATCACACCCCGACTGACACAGCCGTGCTGGCAAAAGTTTGTAGCACAGACTTGCCCTCACACAGGCTCCTTTCAAACATGAGCAACTTATGCACATGAGATGGTTTAAAACAAAATATCTATGACACGTTTTTAAACAGGTTTCAAGTTGAGTTCAAACTCTGGTGTGGAGCATATGAATTTCCATCTACACAAGGTGAGATATCTTCTTGAGTGGTCTATATAAAGTATCCTAGGACACAGAAATGACGTGAGGAAGGAGCCCACACCTGCCTAGGTTTGTGTGACTCTGAAGCACCAGCTATCAGACAGTGATGGAGACAAGACACTGGGTGTAATGGACTGATCTGGTATGATAAATCTTATGAGCCTAAACACAGAGAACAAAGATCAGCTGCCCAAGCAGTGTAGTGGTAGCACAACACCATGCAAGGGTCTGAGTTTCGGTATCCAGCCTAGAGTTTAGCTTGGGGCTGGTAGAGATGTGGAAGCAGCACATACAGTTTCAGGAGGGAATTGCATGCTGCTGTCAAACAAGGGGCAGATCATTACTGATGGCCTGGGGAAGCTACACCCGGGGAAGCTACACCCGGGGAAGCTACCCAGCGAGTAGTCACAGGGATGCAAATTTGCAACAGTGAAACTAAGTAAAACAGCCAAGAAGGAGCAACTGACAAGGTAAGAGGGTCTCTGGGCTTCCTTAACATTGAGCAGATGCATGAGCCTAGCACCCCACAAGAATCCTAGAAGAGAAGGAGAAGACATGTTATGAGTTCCCTGCAGCAATGGAGATCAGGAGACCTGGGCTTACCTGTTCATCCGGCCCAATGAGGGCATGTGTGGAGTCCTCCCCAATGGAGGAGTGTCTCAAGCTGTTCATGGAAGGGTGTCGGGCCGTGGAGTAGGATGGGGCTTCCCCAGGGAAGCTGTGGAATCCATTGGGGAACCCTGGAACAGTGTATCCCAGAGCTGGGGGGAGAATTCAGAGAGACGTGCTTGAGAGCCAGAGCATCACACTGGCCTTGCGTACAGATGCGGCTGCATCTGCACCATGGGCCAGCTTCTCAAAGGGCCTTATTAAACAGACGTGCTGGAAAGGCAGAGCCTGCTTGGCGGGGAAAGGCTCCTACCATGTGTACGCCTGTTGTAAATATGCAGGCTAGGCCCCCCAGGTTAAATTTACCAGCACTTAAGTCACGTCTATGAAAGTGAGAAACAAACACACATTCTTCTAGTTGAGGTTTCCCTCAGGAGCCCGCTGATCCCTAAAGAGGCCACTTGGCAGGCCTCCAGCTGGAATCCAACTGGAGTCGGAGAATGAGGTTGATATTTGCAGCTTTTGTTCCCATTTCCTTGGGAACAAGGTATCACATCTGCAAACGAGTGGGGCTTTAAGCATGCTGCACAGAACATACGTGGACTCGAGGGCCCAGCTCAGAGGCCAGACAGCTCACATCAGCTGCTTGGGGGAATGTAGCCTTGGCTGGGAGACCAGCACCCAACACAGAGATAAACTTGGACAAACTTCCTCTACCCTACCTAGTACTCTGGAAGCCTTACCGTTGGTTGTCTGGGGTGTCCGGGATAGCTCCAGCTCAGTGGAGTGATTGCCCCTAGTCATGATGACTGGCTCCTCCACCACATTGATACTATTACACTGCATCAGGTCCTGCAGCAGGTTAAAGATCTCCTCCGCCCTTGAACACTTGAAGGCAAATATCCCTGTGCAAATACAAAGACGGGGGGTGGGGAGAGATGAGTACAATCTTAGTTTAGTAAGAGTGTAGTCTAGTCCTTGGAAAGCAACAAAATGTAAAATCTGACTGAAAAGGGTTTCTGTTTAACACAACACAATTAACCTGGGGAACTCACTGTCACAGGATAAGGTCACGAGCTTGGCAGGATTCAAAAAGAGATTAGACATTTATATAGGTAATGGAAATAGTCACCCTTCCATTAGATAGTACACACATTTGTAAGAGGTATAAACCCTCATGCTTCAGGGTACAAGTCAGGGTACAAGTCACATACTAAATGTCCGGGGTTAGGAAGTAATTTTCTCTATACGCCCGTTGTTACACATTATGAAGCTTCTTCCATTTTCCTCTAAAGCTCATGGTGTGAGACAATATTTCAAACAGGATACTAAATTAAATTGACAACTCGTCTGAGCTTGTTGGGCAAGCCCTGTATTTCTCTACACACAAATTTATGATTTACAGGGAAATATTTTGTAAGATATTGTCAATATTTAAACACCCCCGAGGCGATATTTCTGTATAGTGTATCCTGTTGTTACATCACCAGAAATATAACACCACCATTGCTAGTTGATCCATGAATTGGTGTATCTAATGCCAACTTTACATTACTTAACTCTGCTGGAGATAAGAATGGTATACTGGGTGACAGATGAGATTCTTCACCTGTAATTTCCGTTCTTTCATTTTACCTGGGGCCCGATCCAACTCCCATTGTCAATGAAGTCTTTCCATTGACTCTAATGGGAATTGGATTGGGCACGCGGAATGCATGTGGAAGAGAGGGGCAACTGCACTCCACTTTTAAAATGTATCAAAATAAACGGTGGCTCCCCAGATAAATAGTTTGACCAATAGCCAACGTGTGCAGAACTAACCAATCACATGCTGGTGCGCACACACATGAATGCACAAAAGCCATAGCAACAAGGACAACAGCATGGCAACAACTGCTGCTACTCTGAAGAAAAATTTGAAAAATATTGTTGCCAGAAAATATATGCATCTGTCTTATTCACTGGGGCTAGGGAGGAATGATCCAAATAAAATCAATTAAGTGAGAAAGTCTCCTTTGAGCAGGAAAAGAACCAGAGGAAATGTACGCAGATCAAAACAGTATGGCTTCCATACAATTTATCTTTGCATATAGAGGACATGGATGACTTATCCTGTGCCCTCTGAAAGCTCTCTTTGTAGGTGAAGAGTGAATGACTCTACCCTATCTGTGCTATCTAGAGCTCCGTAGAAAACCCAAGTAAACGTAACAGCATTCCAACGACTGATCTGAATCCTGCAAAAGGCAAAATAGACACACACAAAAAGCCACAGGTCCCACCCTGCTGACAACCGATAAGCATGGAATTCCACTAAAGGCAAATCCTATTTATATAAATATTATAAAAGAGTAGCACACAGCATTGTAAATGCACACAGTACTTTATAAACAGACGCAGAACAGTGATGTGGACTTTATTCAGATATCAGAGGACTTTTCAACACACGATGCTAATTGGGGGACATAACCTGTTTTTTTTTTCCTTTTGCTGTGTGCCAAGAATATGCTCATCTCTTTACAAGTAATATACAGATAGCCCTTATGCCAAGAAACTTACAGTTTAACAGGCAGCATGGAATAGTGAGAATCAGGAAACGTAGGCTCTATTCCCAGCTCTGCCACTGACTGAATGGGGTGTTCTTGGGTGAGTCATGTCATCTCTGTGCCTCAGTTTCCCCATATGTAAAAAATGGGGCACTTTTGGAACTACCCTCCCCCCACCTTGCAAAGTGCTGCAGGATCAATTGATAAAAAGCAGTAAACGTAGTAGTACTGCTAAACAAGGCAGATAGAGAAGACAGAATGCACTGGAAAGACCAGAACAGAGGAGGACAGGATTTTTTAAAAACTAACATTGACTCACTTTTTTGGGTCATTGTGGAACAAGCAAGCCTTTTAGAAGGGACCTAAACGAAGACAGAGCAGAGGCTTGGCAGACAGTAGTACAGAGGACATAGATGACGACATGCATTGAAAAGCAAATATCTGAAGTTGAAACATGCCTAGGAAACCAGAGCCAACAGCCTCATCCTTGCAAAAAGCACCTTGGGGGACCTTGGGGTCACATCCCATAGAAAGGTGGCATTTCTAGCACCTCCTCAGTACCAACACAGAAGAGTAAGCCCACAGAATCACTAACTTCTTCTGCCACCTGGATTTTCCTTAATGGTCTCTGATCCAATTGAAACCCCACTCCAAAACTGCTTACCTTAAGATATAATGAGAGCCAATTCTAGATGTGTTTCTCCATGCTGTGCATTAATAAGGCAATAGCCTAATTACTTTAAGTCTATAAATATAAACAAGTGAGCCACAATAAGCCACAAGAGTGATACCACATGATGGCTCTGCCCTCAGTCACAAGCTTCCAACATTAATGCCTTAATTGGGAGTATTAAATGCACATGCAAACACACTACAGTACCCTAGAGGTGTGCTATCGCTTGTGCATGTGAAGCAGGGTATAAAGCAGGTTTCCCATACGTAATAAGCAGGGGAGAAATCAGCACCAAGCAGTTACAGCATTCTGCAAGTGAAAGTTTTAGACAGGTTTGTTCCCCCAAAAGGCACAACACCTTGTCCGGTCTGGCAGCGGCGTCCGCTCTCGAAGGAGAAGAGGTTGGAGTCATAGCCATAGCGGCGCAGGCAAAGGTACGGCCACCTGACAGCATCGCGCTTGTGTGTGTGCAAGATGAGCTCCATCTGCGTTAGCTCCATAATCCCAGATCCCAGCGCGTTACCCTCATCATCCACATTTGTTACCTGCAGAGGCAACAAAGCTCACATCAGGAGGCTCAACACAGGAGATGTGACAGATGTAAGTTTGCCTGGAAGCCCCAGCACTCTCTCCCTTGACTCATTAACATGCCTTGCTCTTGGATGATAGGGGGAGGTCATTTGGGTGTGAATTCATTGCTGGTGAAAGGTGTGACATGGACAGCCCTGAAGACTGTAGCCCCACACCAGCTCAGCTAATGTGCCTCAACACAGGCGTGGGGGGGTGGGGGGGGAGACACCCTTGAGTGGGAAGAGGAGAGTTCAGTCTCTCTCCAATTCTTGGCCTCTCTGCTAAGACTGTCAAATGGTTCACCACTGCCGGCTGTGCTGGTGCTTTTACAATGTGGAGACCTGTTTACAGTCAATTAGGCTGAAACGCACGGACGCATTTCACACAAGCCACCAAATAGCTACCACATGGTGATAACTTTTGATGCCCACTGACTTGGGCCCAATTTGAAAGGTTCCACAACACGTGAGCCATCTAATTTTCCCTTCTCATTGCATCTGTTTCTTCTCTGGCACTGGGAGATTGAATCTCGATGCCAATGCAAATCCTTCTACAAGACAGAGGGTGGAACCAGCAAGCAGGGGATTCCCTGCTTAAAAATTAGCAACACATTTGCAAATCTTTCCCTATAGAAGAATTTCCCCATAAGAGAAAGGGCTTTAATGCGTAGGTTCCATGAAATTTGGATTGTACTTTGCAGGCCTTGATTCCCAGTGGTTGCTGTCAATTGCAGAGCTTTCCCTCTAGGATAAAGGGTATTACCTTAAACTTGGTGGGGTGGTTGTCTGGGACACTGTCTCTGCACAGGTAGCTGTAGCAGCTCCCCATGACGTTAGCATACCAGGTGAGCCCTAAAGGGAGGGTGCGGGAGAAAAAAAAAAAAAAACAGAGGATAAAGGCACAATTTCATTTGCGTTTTTGATCCGTAATTATTGTTTCATCCCAACCAATGACCCAGGCTTTTAGAGTGGTGGAGCAAAGGCAGGGATGGCTCAGTGGAGCCCTGGAAGTGTACTGGACGTTAAATGCCCTCAAAGAAGGGGGGAGTGGGTATGCATGCCAGGGCGCAATGCCACAGGCAGGCCACACAGTGCACATACACACCACCAGGGAATTTTTCTAATAGAAGAATATTTTCACGGAGCAACTAACAGCAAATGTGATACAATGGGGCTACGGAAGCTGTTCATAAAACAAAGTTACTCTGGAGTTTTGGCACCAACTACCCATTTTATGACTAATCACAATGAGGAAGGATTCCTTAAGCACTAGCCAGGTCTACACTAGGAGTGTTTCACCAGTATAGCTAACCCGGGAGGGTATAGCAGCAAAGCACTCCTTGTGTGGAAATAGCTTATACAAGCGAAAGCACAATCTTACCACTATAACTATGTCTAGGCTAGAGATCACAACCCTGACCAACAAAGCCATGCCAGCAAGAGTTTGTAGTGTAGATCAGCGGTTCTCAACCGTTTCGGGCTCAAGACCCATTCGTAAATGTTTATGGCCTGTTGTAAATAGTCTGGGGGTGGAGGCCCTGAAGGGTTTCGGTCAGGTCCTGCCCAGCACTCACCCCACAGCGGCAGCCCCTGCAGCTGCTGTGCTGGGTGGGGCTAGCTGGCCTTGGATCTCAGCTCTGGACATTTCAACCTTCAGGGTTGCAGCGCCACCAGATTTGGCCCCGCCCCGCCCCCCTGACTTGATCCAAATTAACATGAGTGGAGTTGTGACCTGGCTCATGGGGTTGCAGTGCCACTCACTCAAATTTGTCCTATCCGGACTCCCGTCATCACGATGGCTGGGCCAAACCTGAGTGTCGCTCAGACCCCAGGAGTTGCGGTGCCTGGAGCAGGGAGGCGGGCCCAGCCAGTCCTGTGGGACAGGAGCCAAAGGAGCTGCCACGCAACCCTTTGAAACATTCTGGCGACCCAATTTTGGGTCTCGACCCCCAGGTTGAGAAACGCTGGTGTAGACCTAGCCCTTGTGCAGTGCCTTTGAGATAATCCATGAGGACAGAAGAAAGTTCGTAACTCTTTAGTCTCACTTGATTCTTACCCAGTTGAGGCCATTAGGTGGTTTTTTGAGGGCGGGGAGGGATTCCCACTTTATTCCCACAGTCCTCTGCTGAGTGTCATGGTAACCAGGATGTCAAGAAGTCACCTAGAGTTCCGTAGAAACTGTCCCATGTTTCACCTGACAAGAATCCAATCAAAGAGATTGGCAGAGAAAAGAAAGACAGAGAGCTAGATTTTTATCATATCTCTATTAATCTTTCTAAAAAGAAAAGAAAAACATAAATTAAAGCAATAATTTATAAATGTAAGTTTATGTAACACACTGCATGGACAAATCCAGTGGGGACCTGACAAGTAAAACACACTTTGGGGGTAAATTAGAATGTAGGTGTAAACAGATCAATCCAGAACTCACTAGGTGAGCAAAATGAGAGGTAGGTCAACAGGAAATGCAACTAGCATTTGCTAACTCCCTCCTATTGGCTGCTTTTTCCCCCACATCCCTCTCTTGGTTTGTAAGTTACACTTCCTTTGCCAGTTCAGCACAAGGTACCCTACTTTGCCACTTACATCTATTTTCCACCCAACAAATGTCATTCCTGAACTAGGCACAAACGTTCATGGGAGTTGCACTATTTACAGCAGAATGAACAAGGCCTGCAAAGCATTTTCAACAACACACCAAATATGTGTGCAGCTATTAAGGAATTAGCTCAACGCCGTTCATAAATGAAGTGGGGCTGGAAATGAAGATGGACAAATGAAATTTCAGACAAAGATCACAAGCAACTTTCTTTTCACTGGGCAATTTTGGACAACTAATCTCCAGAAATAAGGCAAATTTTGTCTCATTATGGGATCCCGATCCATTACTGGGCCTCCAAGGCACTACTGCAATATAAATAAATTATAATACTAGTAATTAGCATCAAAGATACTAGAAATCACATGTATCTGATGCTTTAGGAATCTGTATGCATCTGAATTAGACAGAAGGTTCCTAACAAGGTTCAGAGAGCAAGAAGCTATAGAAGCCAATGGGCAAATAACACAATAGCTATTCTATTTTGGATCATAAAAGGAACAAATTCCAGATATACACAAAACTAAACAACTATTCGGTACTTTTCAGAGAATGCAAGTGCTCTGTGTACAGGAAATGCACATACTAGTAATAGGAAAAACTGGCATTACAGACTTTAGTTTACTGAACTCAAAGTCAACTCGGGGCACCAGAATCAGAACCAGTCACTAACAAAGGACGCACTGTGTTAATTATCTAGTAGTCCAAGGAACGAGAGAGTAAAACTGTACGGATAACTAGCCTGACATTACAAGAGTAAATGAAATGAAGATGCTATTGAAAATTTCAAGCTCTGGCACATAACAATCAGTTTCATCATCAGTCACACCAGCTTAGCAAGAGTTCAGAGACAAAGATGATTCTCTTGGGCAAAAGCAGTATCCTCACGCCCACATGTATAGGTTGTGGCAGTGACCATGTATAGCTAGCACATTTTGACCATTACAGTAACAAATATCATCTTATTTGCCTCCACTGTACATAACTCTGTCAGACTTGATTCTGCTCTTTCTCCTTCCTTATCCATACCTGGGTATCTCTCCATCACACCTCAAACACTGCCTCTGTCTGCCACTGCCCCAGTCCTACCTCTGATGAATCCTCATCCAGATCTTAAGCCTGATCTACACTTAAAACTTGACATAGCTACAGCACTGACACCCCTGAGCTCTGCAGTTCTACTGACCTAAACCCCCAGTGTAGATGCGGAAGCATTCTTCTGTCGACTAGCTACTATTGCTCAAGGAGGTGGAGTTACTACATTGATGGAAAAAACCCTTCTGTCACTGCAGCGTACATCTATTCTCCAGGATTGCAGCAGTGTAGCTGCAGCACCAGTTATGCCACTGTAGAGTACACACGCCTTAAGTGTCTTCTCATCTTCATTATTACAATGACCTTCTCAATGGCTTTTCTTTGTCCCAGCTCCCCCAACTCCAGAAAATGCAATATTCTGCAGCCTGCGTTCTTACAACCAATGCAATCACATCATCCTCAACCCTGAATAACTCCATAGGTTCATGACTCACTTCAAAATTGGCCTCTTTGTTTGTAAAACCCTTCATGAACTTGCTCCAGCAAACCTCACAGACTTTGCCCACTAATCTAGCATCAGCCTCCTCTCTGCCTTTCAACTAATCTGGTCACTGCTGGCACAAGGAGCCTTCTCTTCTACAACACCTGCCATTACCAACATCCTCTCCCCCCCGCCCTCCCACTATATCAATTCTCCATCCTATTTTAAATCTCAGTAGAAAACTTCAACTTTTTCCTTTGCCTCTTTGTTTTTCTCTCCCTCTACTAGTATTTCTGTCACTCAGTTCTTTGGCTCTGTAAAATGTTTGGGATAGAGTGTTATGGGCTTCCACTGAAAGGCTGTAAGGCTCAGAACTGAGGAAACGAGATTATAAAACTACACATTTAATGATCTTTGGAGATTCCCTAGTCAACTAGTCATTGCAGACAATGCCTTGTTGCTGACGATTTTAGTTGTATCCATTTGATGCAGATACCTAGATTCTTAAGACTCTACTCTTCAACGAGCAATCCTTTGAAAACATGCCTTTTTCTGACTATGCTACACATCCAGAGAATATCCTAGTTAACCAAGCACCCTCCTTATTTACTGCCTGCCTACATACTGTAAACACTAAAGTGCTTCAAAGCTCTTTCTGAGCTCCCATCATCCAGATCCCTTTGCCCACACCAGCTGCTCCAGTCATCTGCTGAAATCCCCCATAGCCTATACACAAGCGAAGCAAAATGCTGCTATCCTTTGTTAAAGGCCCAGACGTCAGTTGTGTCTTTGGCATATAAATATCTACAATGCCATTTCTCATGGTTTCTTGCTCACCATGCTTAATTGGCTTTCGGGGGGAAATGAAACCAGCTAGCAGTCCTAGCCCTATGCACACCTGTGACTGCCTGGGTCAGTGACAGTGTGTCTATACTGTAGCTGGAAATGTGCCTCCCAACCCCTCCGAGCCAAGCTCTGCTTGAGTTAGCATGCTAAAAATAGCAAGCTGGACAGCTGCGCCAAGGTAGCAGCTTGGGCTACCCACCCCAGCTCGTACCCACAGGGTCGGGAGGATTTGGACGCAGGTAGCTACCCAGAATTGCTACCCGTGCTGCGCTATTCCCACTGCTATTTTTAACACATTAGCTCAGGCAGAGCTAGCACCCCCGGCTGGGAGACTCTCTCCCAGCTACATACCCTAACGTGAGAACTGCCTACAGCCAAGGGATGGGAGTATTCTCAAAAAGATACAAGGTTCCATGGTTGTCAAAAGGCCTAAGGCAGGTTATATATCATTTCCTATCTTATTGTGAGGGATAGATTCTGAAATCACAGCTGGCAAATTTTCTTGTGATACTCCTGTCACCTTTCAATAAAGGTGGAGATTTTCAAATGCACAAAATGGGGACTGGGCACCTAACTCCCATTAACTTTCCATGGAAGTTGGATGCCTAACTCCTGTTTCTACCTTAGAAAATATCTTCTAAGTGTTTTTTAAAAACTAAGGAAAGGAAAGTCATCCACATACAAAACTCCATCCTCTCCAGCTCATATCTCGGTTCTTCTTATTGAGTGTCTGGGTGCATAGCTCAACTCTTGGATTCCCTTTGGCTTACCAAGGGTGTGAATTTGGTGGTCACCTCCAAAACTCTGACAGCACCAAACACCCTCCAGCACTATAATTCACAATAGTGCTTTCACCTCCTCCTTTTGTAATCTCTTCCTGTGTTTTTCATATTTATGTTTTTGAGAAATGTGGGTTAAAAACAATCATGTGAAATGACGACATAGCTCCTTTTTCTGGGAGGGTGGCAGATGAGAAATAATCTAATCTTCATTTTAGAATGACATTTTTTAAAGTTTTACACAAAGATGACAATTTTAGGCAGAGGCCGATAATTTCTCCAAGGAGCTTACAAATAAAAATGCACTTCTAACTCAAATGAGCTGATATGCACTGTGTATTGCATCTCCAATGCTAATCTACTGCACTGCTTTGTTCTGTTTCCAAAATGATTAAAGACCCTATGTTTATGTGCAACACACAGGTGGGGAGCGCCGATCACTCCTCATTAGCAGCAGTGGATGCATAACACCAAATTGAAAGCTTTTGGTTTTCAAGCTGACTGACAGCCAGTATTGTACATGTGAGTGAATACCCTTCCAATTGGCACGACACTACCAGCAGAGACCATGTTAAGACAGATACCTGCCCTGGAGCGAAATGTTAATAAGACACAGACTTTCAGGAGTCTTTAACCCCTATTTATTGTGTCTTCAAATCCCAATCTGGAGATTGCCCACCCTGTGGGTATGTCTACATTGCAATCTTGCCTGCCAACTGCAGCGCGGACGCAGCCTGCGTGAAAGGCAATGCCTAATCCAGCCATTTGTATCTGGAAACAAGGCACACATCACTCCCAAGTTCAAAAATTATCACTGCCTTCCTATCCATTAGAATTCAGATCCAAACCTCCCTGTGAGTCTTCATGCTCCTCCATGGACTCCCCCAAACTTGAATTTATCTCTAATTGACAGTTTTCTTCCGCTCCCTGAATATCTCACATTTCTGTCCAACATTCCCTGTTTCTCCACAGCCAGTGGTAGAGACTCCTGTCCCCCTGTGCCCAACTCCTAAGAAGACTCATGTCCATCTAACGATCTGTTTAAAGCAGTATCCTGTACACCCCTACTTGCAAATTCCCATGTTCTGCTGGAATCTCATGTGCAAAGTTGCACAACTAGGGTTGCTAGGTCAAAAAGGGACCCTGGCGGCTCTGGTCAGTGGGCCATTAAAAACCTGGCTCCACGCAGCTGGCAGGCTCCCTACGCGGCTCCCGGAAGCAGCGACATGTCCCTCTGGCTCCTAGGCGGAGGGATGGCCAGGTGAGCTCCGTGCACTGCCCCCGCCCCGTGCGCCAGCTCCACAGCTCCCATTGGCCAGGAACCGCAACCAATGGGAGCTCCGAGGGCAGCGCCTGGGGCAGAGGCAGCGCACACTGCGCAGAGCCACCTAGGAGCCAGAGGGACATGTTGCCGCTTCCGGGGAGCCCCCCCGAGGTGAGCGCCACCCAGAGCC